TGTGTTTGTGTGTAGAGGAGAAAAGAGGTGTCGATTTTCATTTGCTTAGAATGAGTGAATTAATGATAATTATAATTGCTATAATTATTGTATCATAATTATTTTTGACACTATAATTAATTACTATTTTTTTTGGACAGTGATTCATTTTTTTATTGATGTATTTCTTTCTGGACACAATATTACCATTACATCTTATCATATGTGTCATCAGTGCACCTTATGATCAAGATAGTCATGCTTGCAACAACATACAATGTTCCAATATACTGAGTCAAGTTACATATACATTTGTAATATTTGTCAAACAAAGTCATTCTATTATTTGTTATAATGATGTCCCAAAGTTTTTCAAAATGATAAACTATAGAATGAATGTATTAATAATTTGTAGTTGATTGTAATATTAAAAACTATTCAAGGAAATGGTTTCTTGGCACCATGAAAATATTGACAATTGTCACTGTGAGTTTCAATACTATTAACAATGATTGTTTTTGTCCAAAAAAGAAAATGGTCTTTCTAGGTTTACTGATGATAATGCAATATTGATTGTGAAGAACATGTATTTCTTAACAATCAATAAAATTACCTAAGAGGAAAATAAATTCCTTATCTTTGTATTTTGAACTGATTTATTTGAAACATTTTTTTCAATTGTATTTTTACATTATGGGCAAAATTCAAAGAAGAATCGGCAATGGAATTTGCAAAAATTTAAATGCAACATAAATCATCATTTTCTGTCCTGTTCTTTTTTCTTGTCCTTTCTCCTCAGTGCCATTTTCTCAGTTACCTTCACCTTATTGTCTTTCATACTCAGTAACTTCTTCCATCTTAATGATGATTAAAAAAGATATATTAATTTTCATCCTTCCAAAGAAGATGTGAAATTTTAAGCTTTTCCTGTAAAGATTTAATATTGTTATCAGCAAAAAAATTTTTATTACTTTTATATTTTATATTTCAGTGTTTTACACAAGGTATGAAATGAAAATAATCCAGTCAAATTTTTATTTTGCTGTCCTTAGTTTAGTTTCTGACGTTAGCTGAAGACTTTGCAGATTCTCCAAATAGACATTTTACCATCTTGAAAAACTCATAATTGCCAAATCACACTGAATAGTGATTTTCTAAGTGCATCTTAGATGTGGCACAAGGCCAAAAATATGGAGTACCTAGTGAGGATTGAACACACTACTCAGTTGTAATGGTTCTAGCAAGACCAGCTTGCTAACCATTACACCACATCAAGGTGCCATAAGTAACACTGAATATAGATAAAATAGGGTCAGAAATTGCTTAATTGGATGGAAAACATCTGGTTTGCTACATTTCATCTTCTTAAATATCAATGTTACAAAAAATAAATAAAAAATTGGGAAACAGGGTCTTTCATACGTGCAAAAACACAAAGTGTCAAAAGGATTGTTTTTCCCTTGACACCACTATTATTTTCCTTCACTCTTTGGTAATGTTTATTATTTTAAAAAGTGATGATTAGATTTGGAATAAAACCTAAACATATGATGAAAGTCAGTTTATATATATATATTTGTCCTTGAGAATTTTCAACAAAAATATCAAAAACTATTTATTTATTAAATTGTTTATTTACAAGGATAATAATATATTTAAAATATTCTAAAAACTAATACAATTAAAACTAATACAATGCAATATTTATCATTTATCAATTTATAAAGAAATAACAATGAAAACATTCGCCATTTTATAAAGTTTAAATCAATTGGTAATTAGCCAATGTTTTGCTAACCATTCCAATAAATAATGTAATAAATAAATAATGTAAATAAACAATCAAATAAATAGTGTTTATTATTTTTTGTTGTCAATTCTCAAGAACAAAGAAAATGTAGAAATTCACTTTTACTTCTTTTTTTATAAGTTTTTCAAAAAACTTCTAAAGGATTATTATTCCTGAAAAAAAAATGTAATATAGCAGATATTTCCATTCAGATTGTAATTTAATAAAAGACATTTTTCACTTGTCATAGTGAAGGTTTGATTATTTTCCAATCCTTTTTTTAATTACAAATCAAAATGCAAAAAGTTGTCAAGATGCATGTTACTTTATCCTCCTCTAAAAATAGTTTTCATATGATATCAGTTGTTTGTCTTAGCCACCTAAACTTTGATAAAGATCTTTACACTGCTCAAGCACTCACTTGAATTATCTATTCTAGCCAATCAATGGCCATTCAAGCCATCAAGTTTATGACAAATGAATGCTTTGTATGTTGTTTTTTTTTTTAACTCTGATCATGAACACCAAACTGATAACATATATAATTTCATTACAAATCTTTATTTTTATCAAAATTAAGATTATTTTAATTTCATTAACTCTTTTTGCCAAAACTTTAAGTTGGAAAAAAATATTCAGTGAAAAAATTAATCTCTTTGTAAATCTGTCTTTGAGAAATAAGTCCAATGGTAGACAATTGGGTATTTGTCGATTTTGTTTAGTGACATATCAACCTCTCTTAGTAGCATATCAACCTCCTTTAGTGACATATCAACCTCTCTTAGTGGCATATCAACCTCTTTTAGTGACATATCAACCTCTCTTATTTAACTCATAGAGGTTGGAATGCTGCTATATGTTGAAATCTAAATATTTTGTACACTATTTTATGGCTTCAACTAAATATATTTTGAACGTAATCGTATGACTTCAACTAAAGATAAAAATGTATTGTAGGTCATTTTACTATAAATAAGTATTGTTGGTAATTTTACTATAAAAAAATGTATTTTTATATTTTCATAGTGTTTTGTTTCTGTTTTGAGGCTCACTATTTGCCCATAGCTGGGACCCTGGCGGGGGCTACTGCTCCAGGTGAACCTGGGAACAACAGCAATTAAGAGGTGTTTTCACACTCCTCAAAACTTTCAATCTTCAAATCAAAGGCCTTTGCTGCCAGATGTAGTTTATTGTCATATCCAGCATCTGAACGGAACTAATTTTTTAATAAGCAGTTATATTTGAGCTTTTCCAATACTTGCCATCTGAAAAGATTCCTAATTGTTTACTTTTAAAATTAACTTATTTTTGATCAAGTGAAATTATGAACGTACAGCATTAGATGATAATGTCATCAATCTTTACTGTGTGGATGGAGTGAAGCTATATAAACATTATACTCCCAACAAGATAAATCAAAGAATGCTAAAACTGTTGTAGCTGTTACATTAGCAACAATTATGAAAGGACCTTGTTTGAGTGTATCTTCTAAAGGGTACTATGACACGCTAGCAGAAAAGTAAAGACAATACAGATGCATGGGTTGTTAAAGTGAAATGGAGAATTCATTTACACTTTTGCCTCAGGTGATATACAAAAATGATTAGCAAATTTGTCTCAGGATTCCACCATATATGAAGGAGTTGGAGTTGGTATTGCTTTGTAGTTGTAGAGAAAGATCATCATACACATATGTGAGCTTTATTGTATAGTAGCAGTAGTGGTTTTCATCATGAAGTATCTTCAGCTGCTGTTAATAAAAGATTACTTTGCCTGCCTTTGGTTCTTCGTATCAGGCTCCTGTAGGTAGGTCAAGCCAAAATGGAAGAGAGACTGGCAAATGGTTACAGTAGCTCGGATCTGCTATGGAGGTGATTAATCAGAAAATATTTTTATGAATTTTTGATTTTTCTTTTTTGTTCCAGAAGTGACTGTCAGGCTTACAAAAACATCACATTAAAACAGTAGTTCCTGTATGATCACCAAAGTTAAGTAACATTGAGCCTGGCCATTACCTAGATAGGTGACTGCTTGGTAATACCAGCTGCCGTAAGCTTGGAGGTAATTGCATGCATGAGGGCCAGTATAAATAATTATAATTATTAACCGATTTTATTATTTGGTATTTATGCATTATTATTATGCAAGTATTAGGAATATAGTAACTAGTTTCCACAAATTGGAGGAGAAAGTTATCAACGATAATGTTCTGGCTTCGAATCTGCGGTTACCTCCCTTTAACCCGCTCTCTGAGCCTTCTTTGCCATAGGGCTTCTTGTGCTTTTTTACTGGGATTTCACTTTGGTGAGGTGTGAGCAAATTTTAATTCCGAAAATGCAGTCCAGAGAAAAATATTTGGAAATCACTGACTTAAATGAATACAAAATAAAGACAAATTTTTAAAAAAACATTTTTCACTTATTTCTGTCTCTATTACCAATTAATATTCAATGCCATAAACAAGAGAACAAGAATAAACTGAGGATCAATCGATCATGAATCGATCAATCTTGATTTCCATTAAGTCATCTTTTTTAACTGTTTTTAACTAAATTTCATATCTAGAAAATATTCAAATAACTACAGCTTACCAAAAACTATCCATCCTCATTTTCCAATATACCAATCATGTCTTGCTACTGACAAAATGAAACTCACTTGTTCAAATTTAAAATATAAAATGATGTAGGTAATTAGCAAAGGAAATTGTTTTTTTACATCATTTATAGTCAAAACTAATGTCCTCATCTTTGTTGTTGTTATCACAACATTCTGGATAATAACAACAAAGATGAGGACATTAGTACACGATGACAATTCCTCATCCCAGAATTAAAATTTTCTTTCTTACAGTTATAATAAGCGTTTCGTGGTGTTGATCCCACTCCTTACACATGTTGTTAGAATAAGTGTTTGGTTGCGAAAGGAAAAGAATAACAAGGATTAGGTTTTTTAAACAACGTGTATTCATTTAATATACAAGATATTTTACAGGTGTTGAAAAATGTCTTTTTCGGTTGCTGGTCGTCAAGAAGACGATTATGTGTAAGGGTAGCGCCGGGAATTAACCGATTTCTTGGGCTGGTTTGACCGAGGTCACAGAATATATTCGTTGGTTGGGTATGACGCACGTGTTGATCGATCGAGGTCACGGTAGTGGATCGATTCGTGGTAGGGTGCGTTATTTGCCGAGGTGACGAGGGATTAGTATAACTGATAGGCCTGTGGTGGAATGTCTCCCTGTAAGGATATGCCTGTAGTGAATCGGTTTAGTGGCATCGAGGAAGTCGAAACGGGGTCGCGGTGATGACTGAAAGGGTATACATGTAATGAGTTAGGTATGCCGAGGTGAGGGCGGTAGCGACGAGGAAGGCTTATACCTGGGTGGTGACGACGTTGCGATGTTATAAATCGCGGCGGTTTAGTGTCGAGAGCCTGGGGGAAACAAAGTTGAATAGTCGGCCCCATTCCGCCTGTGATGCCATAAATCATGTTTATTGGTTAATAAATATATTTCCCAATTTTCATTCCGATTTTTAGGAGGAAAAAAACTGTTAATTATTTTCTGGTTGTGATCTTCAATTTTTGTAGGAAACGACAAGAATGGATATCTGCTTTTTAAAAGTTTGAATGGTGTTTGAGACAACGTCACTGATTGGTAATTTTCTTTCTTTAATTTATGTCCTCTGACATGACTCTAAAGACCAACAGCTGTTTTACTCATTTTGTAGCAAAAATGGCATATGAAATTTGCAGAAGATCCCTTTTGTACACCACCATGTCCCTTTTTAATCCAGATGCTAACTTACAAAATCTAGTCCAGGCTACACAAGGGTCGATGAAGAATAATGACATACGCTGCATGTTTCTGCAAATTGACAATATTCTACTTTAAAATTATTATTCTCAGTCACACACACACACACATATATATATATATATATAGAGAGAGAGAGAGATAGAGAGAGATTGATGTTATATTATCAGTAGCAAAAGGCGACTTGGAAACCAGGACATGCAGTCCATGATGGAGGCAAATCACCAAGGCAGAGAGTGGGACAGTTGCAGTGTTTGTCTTTTTGTTTCTCTCCTAATCCCTGTTCTGTCTACCCTTTACACAAGCTCGTGGAGCAGGTTATTCTCTACTTTCGACTTTCCCTCTTTCCTTCAATATACCCTGTGAGTGTCAAATTTTCTAAGTACTCTTTCCTCAATATAAGCCCTAGAAATTTCAATAAGTTTCCAGTGCTTAGAAGAGAGAGACAAAATTTATTAAGAGTTACAGAAGGTCAGGATGTTGTGGAGAGCTATGATCGCCCACGGCCTAAAGTGACACGACACGTAGAAGAAGAAAAACAAGACGCAACCACAGGAAGTACACAGTTGTATGTATTTGGTGTTGCTAGGCCTTTCTTATTCATGTTGTTTATACTTTCATAGAGACTTGAAAGCTAGAAAAGTCCCATACGAATCAATACAGATCAAAACTGATCATCACCAGGTTTCAGTTACTGTTGTTGCTTTGTCGACTATTAAATCGGCATGAAACTTTACCTTTTTTTCTGTTTTATTCCTCCTGATTTATAATGTGTACTGTAGTTCAATAGTTTTACCGATTTTAGGATTTCTATGTGCACTTGCATGTCTTTTTATCTTATCAGCTTTTAGCGCCAGTTTTAAATAATATTTCCTTTTTTATTATCATTATTATCGGCGGTTATTCCTGTTAATCACATTAACTGTTGACACTTGTTGGGCACATAATAAGGAAGTAGGACACATTAAAGAAGGTTGGAGGTTCGTTCTGTGGAGATAAAAGAAATACTTGGTTACCTGCCCTTTGATTCAGCTGTACTTTATACATGTCTCAAAGATTAAGAAATATACCATGTGAAGCTACAGGCGTAAAAATTAAGCCGCCAGACAGAGCTAATTCACCAGAATCTGTCTGATATGACCCAAGTTAAATCACTGACGTAATAACGATCACGTGAACTTGTCAAGTAAAACCTTCATTAATTTTCCACATCTGCTAATGTGCATCTGTTTTACTGCTCGAACAAATTATTGTCGTTTCATATACATATTGCCGCTTTATATAACTTGAATTAATATGTACATAAAGCGTTTTTTCTCTGGAACATGTCCTTGTCTATCTACCCCCATCACCCCCTTGAACAAAGTGTTATCATATCGCGGATATGGTAATGTTTATATTGGGATGATTTGATAAATTCATCTCCACTAACCATTCCAACTGTTCTAATACATGAAACACACAAATACGTTCCTTTACTAAATAGAAAAATAACGACAACCAGTAAAATGTAATATTTTAACATAACACAAAAAAATATTTTATAAAAGTTATTTAAAGTTCATTGAGTGACTTACAGTGACTTGGGGCTTCGGGGTTAAAATGAACAATTGATTTACCCACGCCAAGAAGGTTAATGAAAGATGATAATGACAAGGAAACACACGGGTAATTTTAACAAAACAAAATAAGGAATTGATTTACGAATTTATACGCTTGTGGTTTTGTCAGAAGATCGTTTCAGGAAAATATATGAGAAATTTTTTAAGTCCGCTGTTTTAACGAATTGTCATGAAGAGGAAATGTTCATACAACACATTAAATGATCTGACACAAAATAATATTCAAAAATGTTTAAGACAAAGGTAAGAGAGTTTGTTGCTCAAAGAAATGATATACTATTGCATACTTTCAAAAGTAGCTGAAGAGAGATAGATTGAAATACTTAGCTTTCTTAGATTGTTGAAAGAAAATTCTTGGAAGTGCCATGTGATCGGTTAAAGGCGATAATATAATTGGTGAAACTTGAACGCTGGAAGCGGTGAACAGAAACGAAACCTTTCACGTGACTTCAGATACTCTTCTCTTTTAATTTAATTGTTCTCTTCATTTTATAACAAAAGGAATTTCACGTGGGCTCGCTACTTTGTTTTCGGCTAATTTCTGTGGAGGAAAGGTTTTCATAGGTCCAAAGAAAATTTCACATAGGCTAGCGAATTCCTTTCTGTTTTTTTTTTTTTTCCTCGGTCCTTCGAATTTGGAGAGAGTTAGTAAGGAGAGTTAATATTATTTCGCACTCACTACAGACTGACGGAAAGTGTTTGCATACATGAAATTGTGCACGTACGTAAGTAGGAGTGGCACAGTTATTGTCTGCATGTGAATAAGAGAGCGTTGAGAGAGAGAGAGGATATATATATATATATATATATATATATATATATATACTCACAGTTGTGTATGTATAAGACATCAATGTTTTTAAATAATTTCACCCCAAGCAAGGCGATGATGCAAGGAGTTATTTGGAGTGAAATGATTGGAGAGAGAAGATTTTAAAGGGGAAATGATTATAAAAGAACAGGATTCGGGAAGTTAGAAGATAGCGATTGGCGTTGCATTTAAATTTTTGTGGATGAAATGAAAATGAAATTAAATGTGTCCTCGTGTCAAACTATGCTTAGCAAGAAAATGAGGTTGCTAAATAAATATCTGATAGATATGTAAATATCGTTTACGACTTATACAAGCACAAAATTATTACAAAATTAAAAAAATATTTCTGTTGTTACATCCAGATTAGACTGAGAAATATAGCAAGGAAGATTATCTTTGAAAAATATAGCAAGGCTGATTATCTTTTAGAAGTATTCCAGGATATACTTCAGTAAGGCACTAACCCACTTATTATTTAAATCCGATCAAGTTTAACACAATATGATCTTTTTTTTAATCATTTCACCCCAAGAAAGGCGATAGTGTCACTAAGACGCAAAGTGTTACTGGGAATGAAAGAGAATGAGAATATTTTAGTGAGGAGAAAGGACAATAAGCACAAGAGTCAATACTTTCTTCCCTCTCCACATTTATTCTATTTTGTTTCATGGTAAATGCGAGTAAATATATAAAATATTGATTAATTAATGTTACCTTAGCCGATGAAATTTTCTAGCACAACAATTGTGAATTAATTGTTTTCCTGCTCTATTGCCTTTTAGCAATGAGCATGAAAGAGAAAAACAACAGTGAGAGGATTAAAAAGAGAAAAGCAGAATTTTTGTTGCATGACTTCCAGCCATATTAAGACGTACTATTACTCTCAGTATATTTTCTGGTTTATTTCGTAAGATTATTCGGTACTGAAGTTGTATATACGGAACGTCTGGCGACCCTAATCTCAAATGAACAATTTTTTTTTTACTGCTTTTTTAAAAAGATTTAACCCACCGAGAGTATTCTTGGTCCCTTCTTAAAACCCAGGTTCAGTGATGTGACCACTACCCAGATTTTTATTCTCGACCAGTTCACACCTGGAGCGAAAAGGAGCAACTGGAAAAGTTTATTTATTGTGATTAGAAAAGTAAGGTTTTCATCCGTTTATCAGATACATTCCAATATTTAACATTTAATTTTAAATATTTAAAATTATTCAATTATTAAAAAAGTTAACTAGCACCTAAATTGTTTGTTAGAATAAAACTTCGATTCATTTAAAAATTATCAAGACATCTCCAAAGATTCGCTAAAAAAATAAGCATCATACATGTTGAAAAAATGGAGAAAATTGAATAAAAACAAAGTTTTATCGTAAAATCTTTGTGTTACGACAAGAGGAAAGAGAAAAGGATTCTTGGTGTAAAAATTAATTCTCCTCTATGACAGTGTGTGATAGACAATTTCCTCAAAGATGAAAAGGAAACTTGAGACAACAGAGATTTAGTTCTACAGAAGAATGCTGAGAATACTATAGACAGAAGATGTATGCAAGGAAGAAATTTTAAGGAAAATGGAAACTAACTTGACACTTGTACTTAGAATCAGAAAGCGCAGTTGAAATTTCTGAGATACATAATGAGGAAAGAGGGCTTGGTAAATGTAATACTTATAGTGCATACTGAAAGAAATAGCCAAAGGGAAACAGCGAGTAACCTACTTAACGTAAATGGTTGGTACAACAGGAACCGCGAGAGTTAGTAAAGAAACAAATATTACTTATAGCTACAGAGGATAGGAAGTTGTAGAGAGCCATGATTGGCGAAGTTCTAAGGGATAGACCAAAATTTACTTGCTTACAGAACTCTCTCACTCTCATTCTCTCTTCCATTTCTCTCTCTCACTCTCATTCTCTCTTCCATTTCTCACTCCCACTTTCATTCTCTCTTCCATTTCTCTCTCTCACTCTCATTCTCTCTTCC